GTCATCAGAGTCAGAGACTGGGTCTATCAGGGACTGGCATTGAGGCTAAGTAATTGTCTGAAGGAGTCTACCAGTTTTACCTCTTGGAATATTCCTCTTTGGATTTCCGGGGCATTGAGTCAGGCAGGCAGCCTTTGATTTACCAGCCTTGGTTTTAGCACGTGTGGAATGATGGTCATTGTGGTTCGTGGTCCTATGAGAAGCCAGCCCTACATGCTTCCCTCTATCTCTGAACTCAGTTCTTATTCTGATCACCAAGCATCTACAGTGCCAGCCCTGAGCACATAACTCTGACTCCCAACGGAAGTGTCCCTGGTACTTCCCATGTTCTTATCCCTCTGTCCTACCTCTTGGGTCACATAGGAATCTTGTTTTATCTTTTCTCTAGAATTGTTCTTTCCATATGTCTGTCACTTTTGAATTGCCAATGTCATTCATTTATGAGCAGGAAAGCAAGTCCCTGGCAGCTACTGAAAATTATCTTAGAGAATGCCTAAGTGAACGTTGAGTTTTCTGCAAGTTCTTGTAGCTGAGCATGAATGGACCAGGACAGCATAGTTGCCCCTAATAATCTCACCATGTAGTCCATGCTTTCAGCTCTGAGACCTTTGGCTTAAACTCACTAAACTTTTCTAAACTATTGGGCTGTCACTTTTCACATGACTGCCCAGAATCTGGATGCTTCTCTGTGGCCGTCAGGTGAATACTAATGATTGGCCCTGGTCACCGTTGAAGAGGCTTCTATCAAAAGCATCTTGGTCTTGGGGAAAGGTTTTCTAACACTTAACTAAGAGATTCACTTACCTTGGAGCATGGCCCCTGATCCTTCCCTGAAAACAGTGCGTGGCACTGCTGATGATGCTTTTCTTCTGGAAATCCATCTTCTGCTGGTTCTAGGACACCATGCTCAGCTGGGTTTGCTTTCCCGGCCTAGATGCTCATGTTTTGTCTGCAGGTTTGTCTGCCTCTGCCCACTCCTTGGACACTACTGAGCTACAAGTCTCTTGTCTAGGCCTGCTTCTTCTTTTCCGTATTATGTCCTTCCTAGGTAATATCACTAGCTCCCATGCTACAAGTGCCACCTGTGGATATTTAAGACTTGATCTTTTTATCTACAGCACAGAGTTCCCCTCAGAGCCCTAGACTCACACTTTCAACCACCTACCTTCCTAATCAGACTACTCTAAACTCAAGCAGGATTTCATTCTAGGTTTTCTTTTTGTGCGGTTTCTCAAAGCCGTAAATCCCACTATCATCTACCACATCACGCAAACCAAAGCCTGTGGCCACCCTTGTAATTTTGCTCTCCTTTATTCCCCTTGCTCCCTCTGTCGTCAGTTTTCACTGTATTTATTTCAGCTCATTATCCTTTTTATTACATCTCCGAATCTCCACTCCTGTTTCTCGAGTCCTTGTGACTCTCATCTTCTACCTGGGTGCCTATGATAAGCTCCAGACTCATTTCTCCAAGTCACTTTGGCTCCACATTGATGCTGAGAGGATATGCTGGAAGCACAAATCTGACCCATGAACACGAGTGTTTAGATGGCTGTCTGTTTTGCTTGGGCTTTAGAACAAAACCATCATCATAGCCTGCACTGTCATGTGTGAACTGGCTCTTGCTTCCCTCCCCAGCATCTTTCTTCGTCTTCTTTCTCGCTTTTTGACCCCTTAAACACTACATCTCTGCCATACACTAGGTTCCTTGCCACTCGCAAAGCCTGAGCAAGTGTGTCTGCTTTACTGCTCCTGTCTACACCCTGGAGCTCACCCTGCTGGTCATTTCCCCCCAGAAGTGACTTACTCCCCTGTTATGCTCTTCCCAAGGGGTCATGTGCCTCTGTGCAAACCCTTAACAAAGCTGAAAGTTGCTACCTTAGTTAGGATTTCTATTGCTGTGAAGAGACACCATGACAATAATAACACTTTTGAAAGGAAAAAGTATTTAATTGAGTGACTTGCAATTTCAGAGGTTTTGTCCATTATCATCACGGTGTGACATAGTGGCATGCAGGCAGACATGGTGCTGGAGATGCAGCTGAGATTCCTACATCTTGGCTTGCAGGCAACAGGAAGTGACCTGTCTCATTGGACACGGTTTGAGCATGTATGAGACTTCAAAGCCTGTCTCCACAGTGATGCACTTCCTCCAGCAGAACCACACCTACTCCAACAAGGCCACACCTCCTGATAGTAACACACACGATGCTGGAGAAGTAGCTGAGATCCCTACTCTTGACTTGCAGGCAATAGGAAGTCATCTGTCTCATTGGGCATGACTTGAGCATATAAGAGACCTCAAAGTCTGCCTCCTTCCTCCAACAGGGCCACACTTACTCCAACAAGGCCAAACCTCCTAATAGTGCTTCCCTTTGGGTACCATTTTTCTTTCAAACCATAGTTGCCATTACCAATTATTGATTTATTAAGTATATCCTCACAATTAGGGTTACACATACCAATGAGCACAAATTCTCTGATGACAGGGATTATGTTTGCTTACCACGATGTCTCCAGATGCCTGCCACTAGTGGATGTTCACATACCTGAGGCGTGGGATGTGAATCTCATTAGATCAGTGACAACAGTGATATTACATAGGAAGAGGCTCTCAGGGCACTTCAGCTTTGAACTGCCAGACTCCAGAACAGGTACTAAGTAAAGATAACTCTACCAATGATGCCATGATCTAGAGCCAACCTTTCCTTTAATTATGAATATAAAAACTGTCAGTATTGGGGGGCTTTGCAATTTGAGGTGTTCTCTTTCCTTTGTTCTTGGTATGTTATAGACTAGCTTTTTCTTAGAAATCATACCTTCAATCTCATAAATAGAGGCTATTTAGGAGCTATTCAGAAGTCCCCCCCACTCTGCAATATCAGACTGCCCTGACTAAAGATGCACTGACTGTCACCCACATGCAATGGAAAATTAGTGGGCTGCAGAATGGAAGAACCTTGTCAGACAGCCCTGGAGCTGAATGAATTGATCTTGCCTTTATCTGGTGGAAATAATGAATAAAATATATCACCTTTAATCGCTTCTAGAAAAATGTTTTTTGACCCTACAGAGACTATAGTTTGGACCCAGCACTTGGACACACCCCAGCTACAGACACATAACTGAATTAATAAATAAGTGATTCTGGCCTGTGGATTTTTGTGTTCCCACAACCTTCATGGTGACTGTGAGGAGGAGTCCTTTGGTCAACACTGACATTGTAGCAATGAAAAGGACACAACACCTACTCTTAAAGGCTTCCTATTCTCACCAAGGGCACTCAGCCAAGTAAACCAACTCGCCAGAGTTAACTAAAGTTTGGGGAAAGTGCCTGGAGAGAATATGGACTTTACACACATAAACAAAAAAAAAATTGAAAAGTATCAATGTGCTGGAGGCCTGCACTTTAGCAGCAGGGAGTTTGGGGAATCAGATTCAAAATTTTGTGTTGAAAAGCAACCCTTCAATTCAGTGCTCAGCTAAGTTCTATGAATACAGGACTAAAAGCAAGAGAAAACTCAATTTGGTTCCATGAGGACATATGTGTACGGCACAGACATCATCCCCTTAGCCAAATACCAAAAAACTGCACACACTTAGTGAGCCCCTATTATGAGTCAGGATCTGTGCTAACGTAGGAAACAAAGATAAAGGAGGCATAATGCTACCCGCGAGGAGCTTGTAGGCCAGTGGAAAAGACAGATGTGAAAACAAGCAACTAATAATATCAGTATATCGTCATATGAGAGATGGTGAGGTATCCTCAAACTGTTATAAAGTGTTATCAGAATTTAGCGGAGAAAGAAACTCTGCCAGAGGCACAGGAGGCCACAGAAGGTATATTGGCTGATGAAGGATGAACTGGTGCTGATGTTGCAGAAAAGTAGAGATGAGTTTGGGAAAAGCTGCTTCTGACTTTAAATTGCTAACCAAAAAAGTGATTCTAATGGGGAAATAAAGACAGCAGGAGAAAATTACCCTAGGATGCTGGTAGCCCATGGTCTACCCTCCAGAATGTCTGAGACAGGAAATTGACTTCCGTGCTTAGTAAACACATGAAGAGGCTGGTCTCCGCCTTTTTTTGCTCACTTACTTTGCTATTGAGCAAGCAAAACAGCTGTTTGAAGATGGGGGATGGGGAGGAAGGAGCTTCAGGAGATGTATTCAACATTTCTCATCATTAAGGCCTAAGTTTGAAGTTACCAACCTGGCGAATATTGTTCCTGACATAAATATCACCCACACGACTTCTAGCAAGTCCTTTCACTATTTTTTTTTTGCTTTGTTATTTGGTATCTTTTTCCATATATAAAATTGGGAAAACAATGTCTGTCTTTGGAAATATTTGTGATGATTGGCCAAGTTAGAGCCCTGAACCACCCATACAGTCTAAAGACATAAGTGTTCAGTTTATACTTTCCTTTACAAGAGAGACTGGGTCAACAAGTTAGCATATAGTATTACATAATTGCCAAAATTGAAATTCATCATGTTTTCTAAACCCAAGGCAATTCCTTTTTATCCACTACTTTTTCTTCTACTGTTGGCTTCTTATATATAAAAAAATAGTAAAACAAAAGATTCTTTAAATAACAAGTAATTTTAACTGTGTTACTTTAACACAAAGCTATTATTTCCATTACATAATCTTAAATATAAATTCTATGAGACCAGAAACTGACTGGTGAGCCAAGGATTGAACTCTCACAGCAAAGCAACATAATGAAGAAAATCTTATGCTCCCACATGGCAAGAATGGGAAACTCTTTTGTTTGGTTTAGAATGCCAGTTTCTTCACCTCAAAGAGGACATCATAGTAATCCCAAGCTCTTAAGGAATTAGTTCTCAGAGGGGACTCTGTAGAACAATGTGTCTGAAGCTCTCAGCACAGTGCCTGGCACATAGTTTGCTTTAATAAATAGACACTGTTCTCACTGTCACCGTTGCCTGGTCACATGTGAGCCTTTCTAACGTCTTCCTCCTCCTGTTTTCCTCCCAAGGTGCTTCCACCCAGAATTCTAACACTGTGGAACCAGAGAAGCAGGTCGACAACACGGTGAAGATGGCAGGTGTGATCGCTGGCCTCCTCATGTTCATCATCATTCTCCTGGGTGTGATGCTGACCATCAAAAGGAGGTGAGTCTTGACCCTGCCCAGAAGACCTTGCTGACCCCATGATCCTAGCATTCCCATGTGGCCAGGGCATTTTTCTGTCAACTACTGTCCAGTAGAGCTTTTCCCATAGGATCCTTGAGTTCCTTGTGTGATTGTTTGAGAGATATATGTTGCTCCCTTGACACGTGTCTTTGAGAAGGCCAGCTTTTAGGTGGTCAGTGGTTCTTATTGCTTCATTGTTGTGCCATGGAGTCTGGTTATGATGAAGTAAATCTTCTTGAAATTAACTACTGTGGATGGTTTGTGACACCCTCAAGATGGTTGGAGAGCTCCAGAAACACAGATGAACACAGTAAAATGATGCTTCACCTTTTCTTTCCTGCATTTCCCCAACATCCACCAGTCAAGAGCAGCCTCTCCTGCTGCCTCAAAGCCTCCAAAGGAGTGAGACTCCAGAAATTCTCCTACTTGAGACTCCTTCTTTCACCATGTCTCACCAAATCTTCCCAGCCAGTTATTACTATGTATTATCTTTTATCTGAATGTTTCCCTGGGCACCTATGGGCAATTAATACAGTTTTCTTATGTTGTATGTATTTTCTTGCAAATGACATTGCTGATGAAAGCAAGGGTACCAATACTCTTTATTGCCAGGGTTCAACCTCTCATACTCATCCTCTGCTTAATATATAGTCACAGGTTTCAAGATAGTACAAAGAATTCAAAGAAAGGGATAGAAAAATGCAAAACATGGGTAGGAGCAAGCATAATCATTAATGATCATTGACTATTAATCAACACTAGATCCCTGACCATCTCTGTTTGGCCTTTACCTTTCACCGTATTGGCAAACTTTATTTCCCAGTTTCACCGATGGACTCCAGTCACAGACTCCATCTTCCCAGTTTCCAGCCAAACTTAAGAAGGCACCAGCCATTTTAAAGTAACATCTGCTACAGCCGCATCTTTCCACAATGCAAACAGCAGTTTACAAAATTAGCCTTTCAAGTTACACCTGACACTGGAGCTCTGGGATTGGTTAGCTGTGAAGTTCAGGACAACAGCAATGATAAGGACCAGGGAATTTCTGCCATCTTCAAATTGAAAGACACTTTGGAACTTGTTTTCCACCAGAATAAAGAAATTAAATGTCCCCAATGACACCACTAGGTCTACTCAAGGAGTTGTATGAGCACCAGTGAGGAAAAAAATTGAAAAACAATGTCCTTATGTTTAGTCACTAATGACTTGGAAATGCTAGTGTTGCCATTACGCAGGCAGCCAGTCTTTTCTCATCTATAAACCACCAGTTGTCCTTGTTACTCGCTCTCTCATGGTACAGGCTTTGATTCTGCCAGTCTTCTTCTTCTTCCTTACCAGGATATCTTCTTTCTGGGACTTGGCCTTTTACTTATATATTTTACCTACTGCTACTGCTTCTCTTCTCAAGTAACCAATGGAATGGCATAAGAGTTAAGGTTCCCAACCAGTTATTAATTTTCTCATTGGAAAAAAAATAGAGTGAAAGGAAGATTTTATGTTATCAGTGTGAATACAGAGGCTTCGGAGAGCTAAAGGGAGCCCTTCCTTGTAATCCCATTATCATTGATTAAACATGACCCTACTGTATGTCCCGGGGACTAGCCAATCAGCCACTATTATTTGAAGCAGAACATGCACTTTGAGTTCTCTGGGAGTGGTGAGCATATTATACATAGAAGATCACAGCCAGGTCTATTAGCCTTGCAGGTGTGGCAGAGGCAGAAGTGAGTCTGGGACTATCTACATAGAAAAAGCGGCCAATTAAATGGAATTGAATATCTTGAAATTTTCTGATTCTTTGCCACCAATTTGTAAGTCAGATATGTTCTTCCAGTTTTGCTCTTTCTAAAGCCTGGCTTAACCTACGTCACCATCGACTGTGAGTTTGCGAGAAAAAAAAATTCACTTCCTTCTCAGCAGCTATTTCTGAAATGTGTGATTTTCCGGGAGGGAAGAAAGGGATGGCTTTGTGCTTCTGGGGTGAGGGTACACAGAGAGTGAGCCTTCCGTGTGCTTTAACCTCTCCCGGGGGTATCTTTGTCACCTCTCATGTCTACAAAACTGTCAGACACAACCAACAGGTGTCACATGATCACCATTTTATCTCCCAAAGCAAAATTTAGACCCTGTGGCAATGCACAGCTTGGGGATGCTGATCCTTACTTACATATGCAGTCTATGGACATGTTTCTGCTGGCTGATAGGAATAATTCACAGATGGTGTGAAGGGAGGATGGGGCTAGAAAGGAGTGGGGGGAAAGAGGAGAGGAAAGGTATGGTGGGGGAGGAAAGAAATTAAGGAAAATAAGCACAGGCCTGCTCTTTCTACTAACCATGTTTTCCCATGTCTAGAGATGCCTCAAGGACAATGAAGGCCACAGTGAACTCATTCTTTCTGTGGAATTCTTCTGACTCCAGCCCTTTGTATAAATATGGGGACATAATTCAAGCCAGTCTGTTACTAACGGGCTGCTAGCCAAAATGCTACCCATAGCAGCCTGGAAGGGAGGCGTTTAGCGGAACAGACCCACTGGAATGATGAATGAGTAAATCAACACAGCTCAAGATCCCTGGGTCAGGATACTTTCGGTGCCCCATTCTCACCTCCAGTTCCCGGGTCCACCAGTTCTTGGGGGGGGGGCAAATACCTGTTTGCCATTATCTATCTCCTTTACTGGCTTGAACTTGACAGTACCATCCCCCTGTCCTCCATGGTCATGAATGCAGTGACCAGGTTTTTGCTGTTGATTTTTCTGCTCCCTATGCCTCCAAGTCTTGAGTTGAGTTTATCTCAGATCTTTCTAGGCTATAGCCACAGATGTTTCCATAAACACAGATGTCCCCAGACTCTCCCTCTTAGGGGTTCACTGTAGTTGAAGGTAAAGCTTTCTTCTTATTCTCAAAAAGAAAGAAAGAAAGAAAGAAAGAAAGAAAGAAAGAAAGAAAGAAAGAAAGAAAGAAAAACCTGTCTTCTTGCTAGGGATTCTCTTTAGTAACAGAATGGGAAAGCAGACAGAGAATGTACTTGAAGTGCAAAGAATAAAAGGAAGGACTTAATGGAGAAATTAATTTACATTTAGATGACTCAAGAAAATAGAAAGAAATGGAAATAGAAAGGAAAAAATCAGCAAAAAATCTGTTGAATGTTTTGTATTCTTTCTTTGTACTTGTTTTATAATGCAGGAGGGTCTTTAGAGATAAAGGTCAAATAGTGATGTCAATGGAGGTTTAAATAAGATTTTTTTATGGTTTCCAAAACACTGAAATTAAAATTTAGAATTATTTTTGAATCACTCTTAACCATTCATTTTTGATTGTGGACCTATGCATAATCTGGGCGTCATGAAAAGTAGACTCTAAACCCTGAGCCCTTTCTTGACACACTTGATTTTCAGAGTGTTTTTAACCAATCTCACTGCAAAAATATCCATCCTTAGTTTCTCTTTTGCTTCAGGATCTATTATATCTAGACTTCAGACTGTTCCAGAATGGATGCTCCAAGACACATACCATGCCATTATGTAATGATGCATACTCTCTATGTCCTGAACTCCCGACAATGAGAAGCCCTCAGTGGCAACTCCTCTCTGCAGTCTGGAGTTCATTTTTCCCTTTACTTTCTTTTTCTCCCTTTTTATTTATTTTTAATGAGATCTACATTTTTCTCTGCTCCCCTCCCTGCCTCTCCCCTTTCCCCTTCAACCCTTCCCCAAGGACCCCATGCTTCCAATTTACTCAGGAGATCTTGTCTTTTTCTACTTCCCATGTAGATTAGATCTATGTAAGTCTCAGTGTCCTCATTGTTGTCTAAGTTCTCTGGTTTTTTTTTTTTTTGCTTTATGTTTAAAAACTACGTATGAGAGAGTACATGTGATACTTGTCTTTCTGTGTCTGGGTTACCTTACTCAAAATAATGTTTTCTAGCTCCATCCATTTTCCTGCAAAATGTCATTATTTTTTTTTCCTGCCATGTAGTACTCCATTGTGTAAATGTACCACATTTTCCTTATCCATTCTTTGGTCAAGGGACATTTAGGCTGTTTCCAGGTTCTGGCTATGACAAACAATGTTGCTATAAACATAGTTGAGCACATGTCCTTGTGGCACAGTTGAGCATTCTTTGATTATATACCCAAAAATGGTATTGCTGGGTCTTGAGAAAGGTTGTTTCCTAATTTTCTGAGAAATCACCATACTGATATCCAAAGGGAGTGTCAGCTTGCACTCCCATCAGCAATGCAGAAGTGTTCCCTTTTCCACACAATTTCTCCTGCATAAATTGTCATCAGTGTTTTTTATCTTGGCCATTCTTACAGGTGTAAGATGGAATCTCAGAGTTTTTTTGATTTGCATTTCTCTGATGACTAAGGATGTTGAGTACTTCCTTAAGTGTCTTTCAGCCATTTTAGATACCTTTACTGATAGTACTCTGTTTAGGTCTGTACTTCATTTTTTATTGGATTATGTGTTCTTTTGATGACCAATTTCTTGAGTTCTTTGTATATTTTGGAGGTCAGACCTCTGTCTGATGTGGGGGTTAGTGAAGATCTTTTCCCATTCTATAGGCTGTCATTTTTATCTTGTTGACCATGTCCTTTGCTTTACAGAAGCTTTTCAGTTTTAAGAGGTCCCATTTATCAATTGTTTCTCTCGGTGTCTGTGCTACTGGAGTTATACTTAGAAAGTAGTCTCCTGTGCCAATGCGTTCAAGTGTATTTCCCACTTTCTCTTCTATAAGGTTCAGTGTGACTGACTTTATGCTGAGGTCTTTGATCCATTTGGATTTGAGTTTTGGGCATGGTGATAGATATGGGTCTATTTTCATTCTTCTACATGTTGATATCCAGTTATGCCAGTACCATTTGTTAAATATGCTTTCTTTTTTCCATTTGATATTTTTTACTTCTTTGTCAAAAATCAGGTGTTCAAAGGAGTGTGGATTAATATCTAGGTCTTCTATTCGGTTCCATTGGTCCTCC